AAAGCCATTCTGTCTCTTTCAGTGCACCTAATCTACCAGGAACAGAGAGAACGAAGGCCTCTATCTTAGACAACAGCTCTCGGGCATCCTTTGCAGAGTTTATCTTTAAGTGGTGTTGCCACGAAAGCCACTCTAATAAATACCACGAGCAGAGGACCTTTTTTTTCCTCCAAGAGACTCGACTGCTTCCAAGATGGGTTCTTTGTTCCGCTAAAGGGGGTCATTTATATTCTCGCGAGTTTGCTTTTTAACTTCGAGTGACGTCACTCTGGTTATGGGTGAGTGTGGCTGGGGAGAAAGGAAGCTAAAAATTTATGTGAAATGGAGGAGGGTTTGCGGGGGGCGATGCTTTGTTGGCTTTTGGGAAAGCTTTCAAGCTCTCTCTCTCTTTCTGTCGAAAGTTCTTTAAGGTGGAAAGGAACTAACGCAGGAAAATTTTAAACGCAGTGTGCGCTGCATTTTTAATGTTCCGCCGGAAATGTGAAGTACGCGTGTTTTATAAATAAAGTAAGTTTTAGTAACGACGGTAAGATTTTAACGAAGAATGAAGTTAGGAGATGTAAATTTTTTTCGGAACTTTTCTCCTGCTGTGAATGTTTAAGAAACCTGAATCATGTTTATGCATTTGAGTGTCGCGATTGTGTTATGTACTTTAATCTGGTACCAAAGTACTTGCAGCAGTAGCTTTAATCACTGTATGATGACTGGGTGAGTAATTTCTAGAAAGAATGTTAAATTTTGAAAAGAATTCATTATAGCCACATGAATTGTCCAAAACAATGTGCTTAAAAACATTTTTTCCCTATCGATTACAAGATAAATCGTAAAATAAGTAGCGATATTTTTTTTCTTCTGTAAGTGTATTATATACATTCTCAAGATTGTATAAAATTTCAATTGGGGCTTATATTATCGATATTTAGTTAGTAATGGAGGAAAATGATGGACCTAAAATGAAACATCGAATTTTGATCATTGGAAATTGTTACTGTTTCCAAATACAATCAGCCTTCACTTTTTTTTTCCCTCAGGGAGATTTTATGCCCGAAGAATACCAACAGGCGCTTGTGGTTTAGTTATGCTTTGAGTAGTTAGATAACGGTTTGCAATTTTCACTTGATAAGAAAGCATAAACATCGTTGACTAATCATTTTAAGCGACCGTGTTCATTCACTGCTTTCAAGACAATAGTGCCCTATTCAACGAAGTCATATTTGTCAGTCACAGTTTAAAGAGCGTGAAAATAAAATTACTCGTCTATTCTGACGTGTATAATAACCAGCCTTAACTGTCTGTGCTAGAAAGTAAAACGAGGTCTCATTTTCTTTCAGCAGCATCTTTTCAGGAATTGAAACAGTTTCCGACAGAAGAATGATATAAAGTACTTATTATCACCATTCAAGTAGAATTTCAGTAGTTTTGAATGCCAAATACGCTCCTACGCCATTTTAAATGCACAGTTCTCCGTTTTTTTAAATGTTTTCATAATTTTAGACAACCTTTATATGTATATGTTAAGGTCTGAGTCGGTTTATTTGAATGCGGCGAAACACGTGAGTGTTATCTGCCTAAGGGAAGGGATGTCTTCGTGGAGGAGTTTCGAAGGGAAACTGGTCTTTATCCTTGTTACACATGAAGAAAACCACGAAAATACAAATGCTGCTGGCCCGTTGGTCAGGATTCGAACCCAGGTCGCGCTACCATTGCTCAGCGACTTTACCGCTCTTACCATTGGTAAGACCGTAAATGTTAAGTATATAAGCTGTGTGTATAACCGGAAGCAGTATAAAGCACGTGCTGAAAGAAAGCGGGAAAATGTTGTTTCTTTTATATTGCATCATGAAATGTGTTTGAGGCAAAACAAAAACTGCTGGATTTTGTTAATGATATTTAAATAACAGGGGTGACGGAAGCATTCGCTTAGGAATTCTATACAGTTATAAAAAAATGTCAAACCCCCCCCCGAAAAAAAAAAGTGTCCATGTCTACGTAGGAACTATGTATTGGATAGTATCATTACAATGTTTTTATATCATCTTTAGGCCAGTTATAGTATTACGCTGCTTAAAATAGTGTTACTGTGCTTTGATCCCAGTATTTTCATTCATATCTATATAATAGAGTTAAATAATACCTCAGCATTCTTTTCGTGTGCAAATAAATGCCAATGATTCCATAACTATTCGACAAATCATTCAATGCATTCTGCATTTTTTGTAGTTGTCAGTGTGCTGAAAGCAAAAACACTATTATAAGGTACTAAGCAAATCTCACTATAGGATCATGGCATGTAATCTCTAACTGTGATACATATCTTCGATAGATCGCTCTTATAGGAGAGAGATTATACTATGGCTTATTAATTTACAATAGGTACTTTAAGGCCATTTTCTCCTTTCGACGTGCCTCGTAACTATGGAAACAACCGCTTCGCGGAAGACAATTGAGTCCTTTAATTCAATAAAATCCCCTAATTCCGTCTATACGGTGATGACGAAACGCCTTACTACGGTATTAGGAAAGGACCGCTACGATCTTGAAGTGCCTGTTTCAAAGTTAGTGTCATTTGAAAACAATCTGGCAGTTGATGCATCTGTCGGAGAGAAAAAAAAAAATATATGCCGTTTTTAGCTTTAGCTTAGAAAGGTTTTCTGAGGATAAAATGTGTGAAACTTAAATGTTCAATAAAGTGCTTACACTCTAACATTGGTGCGTAAAATTCCAATGCCATCGTCGTACCCGTGAGAGCAGTTATATCTCCCGCTCGCTTTGTTCCTCACAGAGCATGCGTCGATAGAAAAAAGAGTAGGGGCGATATGAAGGGGGGGAGGGCTTGCGATTTACTACAGCACTTGGAGAGCGAGCTATATTTCTACACCAATGCCCAATAGACAAATGGTTTCTTTTTTACCGAAATCCTTATCCTTTCGCTACAAAGAACTCGAAAAAAATAACGCGAATAATAATAAAATAAAATAAAATGAAACGTAAGAACAAGAACAACTCAAAGAAACGATCGAGAAATTTATGTTCTCTCTTCTCCTTAAAGTTTTAGACTTTTTTGTGGGACCTCCCCGAGAAACATGGCAATATATTTTCGCGATTTCAGTTCAACGGATCTCAGCTTACTGGATATATATATATATATATATATATATGCACATATATATAATAAAATTTTGTATGGAAAAGTAAATAAATAAATATACATACATGCACCCTCAACGTGCGTAACAGGACGACTTGCAGCAGTGGAAAAAAGAAGAAACGGAAAAAAGAAGAATCAAATTCAGAGTTTGAAGTTTTTGAAATCATTTGAAAACAAGAATTTTATTTTTGTTCCCGTTTCATATTTATTTTTTTATCCCGTTTTCCGTGAAACCCTCTGGGATGGCTATAAAATATGCAACATCCGGAAGCTAAAATAAAAATGTTTTTCCCTCCCTCGAACACTGGTCTAGGAGAGAAAAAAATAGATTTTCTTCAATCGTTGGGTATGTTCCTATATTCTGACAGGAGGTATCAAACTGTGTTCAAATCTTTATTTAAATGGTCATTATGTTAAAAATATTATGTGAAATAGCAAAACTTTTAGCACTTTGCTTACCCTTTCTTTTCTTTTCTTTTCTTTTTTTTTTAATTATTTTATTTGTACGAGGGGCTTTCAAATATTAACAAGAATTTGCCAGCTGAACTTGAACATTAATTAGCTACTGCAATACACTTATTCCGTCCAAGAATTTACTTAATTTCAAAGCAATAAAAGTCTTTTGATTGCATGTTGGTCTTTCTTCCGAGGCGTCAATAACTTGCTCCTTGAATCTGAATTTCTTCCTTCCCAAAAATTCTTAATTTATGACAATCTTTAAACTGATGTTTTCAAACTACCAGCACTTATTTGAAGCACCAACAATTATCCCTTAACGATTACTGTCACGGTGTCTTCCTAATCAGTCCGAATTGGTGCATCAGCAGCAGTCATCAACGTATTGTTTTCACTGGTTGATGTTCTCGGCTGACAAGCATGTCGTTGGTTCACAGTGTGGTTTAGCTCTTAGCTGGCCTTCTGTCAAAGACTTGCACCGGTCATATACTCCAAATTGACGAAAACACTCTTACAAATTGATTGAGTCGAGACTTAAAAATCAGTTTGGAAAGAGAATGTTTGAGTGAATTTTCGAGACTCAAACATTCCCATTACCTTAGTAAAAAATTTGATGGCAATTCACTTCAAAGCACTGGTATGAACCTTCTACTGCGCCATACTAATTACAATTAATAAGCTGACGAAAAGAGAGACTGGCGCTAGTTTAAGCATGTTATATGTACACCAATGAGTCCTGATTAGGTTGAATTCTTTAGAAAGAACATAGCGTTAAGTTTCTTGTTTTTGTTTGATAGCTGTTTGATTCTCTAATATTTAGTTATAATGTATTTTCATTTTTATCTCATATGTAAATTAAACATTCATCAGTTAAAGCTAAGTAGATCAATTCTAAAATAAGATGCAAATTTTATGCTGTAAACCATTTTTAAAAAGAAATTAATTATATCTTTCCATCATAAGACAAAATATTCTTAATAACTGGATGAATTAATTATGATACTTTTGACAGTGTCTTGTAAACTTAACTGTAAATAAATAATTCATGTAGAATAATTTTTATTCCCTTAAAAAACGTGGGGGGGGGGGGAATGGAGGTATACTTTTTGTCTGTTTAGATTTCAAGACGCTTCTGTGTTATCATTAGAAGTATAAAATTCTTTTCCTATTATGGAAAGGATTTGGTAAAGCGAAAGAAAAATGCATTGTTTGTTGTTAATATATTTCCTTTTGAAATATATTAACAAAAAAAAAGTATAAACTAATACAGTTTATATCGAAATTTCCCATTCTCATGTTTAGTGTCTGAAGCTTTGCGTTTGATTTGAATTTATTTTGCATGATTTAGATATGTTTTAAACAAAAAATTAATTTTATATTTATTTCTCTTTTGTAGGATTTATGTGTTTGCGAGTTTGATTGGATTAAAGTGGTATGTATTCTGAGATTTTTGTATGTCACAATATATTTTATCTTCTTTTTTTAAACTTTTTTTTAATGTAATAGTGTTTGAATGAATTTTTAAACAGATTAAAGTGGTTGAATGATTTTTTTTTTTTTTTTTTTTTTTTTTTTTTTTTTTGTCAGAAAAAAGAATTTGTTTTTCATAATATCGCTGCCGCTGCCACTAAAAAAGCAACAAAATGTAAAATAAAAATAATAAGAATTAAAATCAAAGGTTTCTATACCATATTGGTAATGTATGTTTTAATCTTCGGTTGTGAATTACAACCATGTTACAAATGTTCATAAAAATTTGTTTAGATGTACTGCATATTAAAAGTATTTAAAATTGTGTCATTAATTAGATTATGAAAAATAAAATAAAGATTTAAATTATTTATTACCTTTAAATCATCAGTTTGTAATTCAAGTACTTAAAGCAGGGTTTCCCAAACCTATGCCTGCGGGCACTATAGCGCCCGCGGATCGTTTAACGTGCGCCTCTGCTGTGCGATCACAATAAAAATGTTGTAGTTTCAATAAAATTCTATGTGAAAGTTTTCTGATTTTTAATGATATAGAGATTGCGTCCAACACACATTAAAGTTACGCCCATCTGATGGTACTTCATTCAAAGTTACTTTCTGACGCCTTGTTTGTAATCAACTTAGAAATAAACGTACATTAATATCTTTAAAAAAAAAAAAAAAAAAAAAAAAAAAAAAAAAAAAAAAAAAACTTTATTTTCCAGTCCTGGACAACTATAAAGCGAGACTAATTTAGCCGAGGATATTTTATAATACATGCATGGTTGTGTAGCGTAACAGCATCGTAATGTAATAGTTCAGCTAAAGACGTTTCTAAGATCAAAAATAAGCAGATGAAATAAAAATCAATTAAATAACGTTTTAAGACTTTTTTGTTAGACTTTTATTATTAGTAGTGTTATTATTTTAAATGAGTATATATATGTGTGTGTGTTATGATTTTAAAATGCGTAGATGAAGGCACTGGAACTTTTAACAGCTTGCGATATTACGTAGATGGCTGAGAAGACCGTCATGGCTGAAGGTAGGGTTGGGTGGAAAAGCATGATGACTCACTTAGTACAACTGAGCTTGAAAAATCACAATCTTTATTTTTTACGCATATCAAATCACTTTTGCAAACAAGATATTTGTTAACTGTAATTGAGTACAATAAGTTCCATAGTACGACGTTATCTTAGGCAAATAAGCAGCAGCGTGGAAAAGCAGCTTTTGCCGGCAGGGAAGCATAAGCGAAAGAGAGCTCTGCAACACAGAGGAAGAAGGAAGGGAGTGAATAGTTTCAGTTCGAGTTAGAAAAAGTTTTGGTTTACGATTAATTTGATTGGACGACAGGTATCTGCAACGTAACATAGAAAGATCTCGAATCCAGGAGAACAGATGAATTTAGGCGGAGAGCAAATCTAGAATGTTAATTTTGAGGCCAATTATTATTATTTTTTAAACAGCTATCGTATTTTGTTGTATCTTACATATTTTACATATAATGCTTTTTCTCTCAAAAAGGCTTCTCTATCGCTCCGCATTTTTCTTTCCGAAGGCGGGGGGGGGGGAATGTGTAACATAAAATATATGAAAGCAAACTTCTAATTTTAATTGGCTATAACCTCTTTTATTTTTTTATTTAGTTTGGGGACTTCCCCTCTCTGTCTTAGAAATAGCCCCGTAAGTCTAAACTGCGTCATTCAAATTAATCATACGATCTTACGTAACGCTCAATGCATTTATCTCTTGCCCAATCAAAGTAATTGTAAAACCAAAACTTTTTGATTCTGTCCCTTCTTCCCTGCATTACTGCTGCGACACTCCCCCTTTTCGCTTAAGCTTTCATCCTGTTAAGACGCTGCTGCAATCATCTATGTTCGCTTCTACCGAAATAGTATCAGAATTGTTCTGGAAATAGGTACGATTGGAGTGCCAAGTGAATTGTAGCCACAAATTTGAATTGAAATAAAAAAATGGAATTAAAACCACGTCGACTGCCAAGTTCGTAGTCTTTACGAAATCTACGTTTTAAGTATCAAGTATCTTCGCAATCAGCATTTCTACTCATCTACATCTCAGTGTTCTTACATCTGAGCTTTCAAAATTGTACTGTCGTTACATTTATATGCGTATATTTAAGTTGATTTACATTGCGTGTGCTATTTAAACATAATATTTGTGAATTTTTTTTAATCATTCAGGGAACATTTTTAAAATTTTTAAATAATACATGAAATCAGTGAAAAAATGACATCAAAAACATAAAAAAATTTTTTAAGATGAAATAAAGTGCTGATCTTACAAGTATGATTAGGTTGCCTTTTGCTGTGTACATAGATGACAGTCATTTTTAACAAGCTGAATTGTAAAATTCATTTTCTTCTAGTTTGTTTTGAACTGAAGCAGTAGATTATACACATTTCTGTTAGTTTTTAGTTAGATATTTTCCTTTTTCATTAACGTTGAAAATGGGATTTTAAGTTTAAAATATTTTTCTTTCTTTTTCTCAGTATACGAAATAATTTAGCTGTGACAATTTAGCAAATGCAGTACTTAATTGACTAGTATTAAAAGATTGAATAATTAATGTTATTTAAGTACAGAAATTAAATACAAGTGAAATTATAAACAAAATATGTTCAAGTTCGAGGTGAAGTGCAGCTTATTAAAGTTTATTTTTAAATTTAAAGTAATTTTATATTATTTGAAGCCTAGAAGAATATATAGTTCAGCGAGGCCGTCATATAACAACTGCCATGTCCTCATATTAACTGATAAATTACATTCTTGTAATTCTTATTTGCCATCGAAAATCAGTGGCATGTAGTGAACCTTTCGTCAAAAGGAGCTAGACATGAAGAAGTACCATAATTCCTGTTTAAGACGACTTCCCAAGGTTCCAGATGATTATAGTCTTCAGTGGAGGTGGTCGTCTTAGAAAGGAGGATTTTAGTACAATTTTGATTTATGTCTCTTTCAGAAATGGTTTCCTTAGAGAGATGGTAGCTAAGAGAAGGTTTGCTATATTCTTAGCATGAAAACTAGTGCGTGCAATAATGTACATATGCGATATCAAATTTGCAAATGTCAGATGAGAGGAGAAAATGAAAGTGATCACATCATAATAAGTAAATCATTTTTCAGTTTGATAAATGCCATAAAAAGTAAATAATTAATTTTAAAATGCCTGCCTCAAAGCAAAGCAGACTATTCAATTTATATATCGTTAATTATTTTGAAATTATATAACGTTCCGCTTTGGAGTGAAAGGTATTTTCAATTTTGCCATTAATCAGATTACATATTACATAGGGTAGTGATTCCCCTTCCATGATCCTTTCGGGATTATTCCTTCTTTCTTTTGTAAATATAATATCCCTAAAGATGCGTTAGACAGAAAATTGGAACCAAAGGATTGCGATACTGACGACTAATACGACTAATAATCGCGTTATCATAAAGCGGCTTCATAGCCTTCCTTGCTGTTGTGTGGGAGACTTGTTCTTCTTACCGCTTCCATTTCCATAGTTTAGACTCGGAATTATTGCATCAATATTTTTTATCCCCAAGCTGTCTCATGTGTATTTTTTTACATTGATTAAAAATTGAATTTCAATTGATTAAAAATTGCGACTAAAAATAATCAATACTTTTTTGTGTTCTTCATTATACTATTAAATTTCATTTTGTAGCATTGAAAAACAGTTTGACGATTTTCTTTATTTGTATTTCAAATAAGCTGCGTAAATTTTACCTTTATCTTCCTTTCCGCCTAGTGCTCAACTTTTTAAGATATATCAATTCCTTGAAATTTAAATTCTATAAATTGTTACCAGCTCTTGGTTCTGTAGAGACATTAGGTATTTTTGGAAGCTGGCAAGAAGAAAAATTAGCAACGTCTTCGTCGGGAATCGAACCACGGACCTCTGGAATACGCGCCCAGCGTATTCCAGACGACTGGATTGAAATAAATAGTAGCTCACAGCATAGTAAACAATTATAAATAGCTTAAGAAAGGAAAGAGAGATGAAGCAAGTTCTGTTCCACACGCGAGAAATTTCGCAAATCGGTGATATCATTCACACACAATGAACTTTAAAACGTTATCGCACAATTCTGAACTGAATCACTCAGCCAACTCTGTGAACTGAACTGACTCCCTGCTTCAACTCATCCGTATTTATAGCGTTGCCTTACGCTTCTGGAAACTTCCGGAGAAATACCTTCTGAGCTAAGTAATTATCTTTTCTGGAAACTTCCAGAAATTCTCCAAGCTGCAGGAAAATTGTCAAATATCACCAAGACCCGTCAGGAGCGTTTCTGATTGTATCTTGTCTTTTAACTGAGCTGTTTTGACTATTTAAAGTCAATCCAATCAGAGTCTCCAAATCTGCAATATTGTATTCAAAATAAACACTTACAAACGCAACGCCTGATTACATATCAGAAGAAACAAAAATACTTTAAAAATTTAATAAAATGCACCAGTTAAACAAACTAATAAATACAAACAATACATAACATCAACAAAATACACAAAACCAAATTACAATCAAATAAACACCAATATTTACACGTATTTCCAACATTATGAAAAACAGATATTTACTGCTAAATACTTCAAATGGTAGTTGGAGAAAGAATACGATAATTTTTCTTTCCAATAATTCATTTTATGATTTTTTAGTTACAGTTTCTATATGCTATGGGCCCACCAGCGGCCGAGCGGTAAAGACGCTGAACACTGGTAGTACGGTTCGAGGTTCGAATCCCGCGAACGGGCTGGCTGCATGGGCGTTTTCGTGGTTTTCCCCATGTGTAACTTGTATACGAGCCAGTTTCCCTTAGAAAGTCCTCCACGAAGGCATCCCTCCTCATAAGCAGATAGCCCTCGAGGCTTTGCCATAATCACACACACACACACACACACACACTATATGCTATGGTCTTAGGTACA